GTCTTAAAAATAAGCAGGATATACACCTGAGAATTCCAGCCTGGAAGACCTAACAAGAAGTCTACAATCATTAGAAATATCTTATGAACTATTTTTCTAAACTTAGATGCCAGCACTTTAAAAGCATTCAGGAATAACTTTTAGGCAGTCAGATTAGTAAATTGAACCTGTATCAGAAATCGCATGGCATGTTATTCCTTTAAAGTTAAAACTGCACAGTGAACTTCTTCCACAAATCTGTTTTTTCTCATGATGTTCTTCTTTTTTAAATTAGTGACAATAATAAGCTCCCACATATCCAGGTTTAAAATCAGTCATCTTTCAGTAATCCTTCTCCTTGCCTGCTTTCATCTCATCATTTGCCAAGTACTCCTTGAGTCTAGGAACACTGAATGAAGCAAAGTAGATTTTTCTCAGACTTTTCAATGTCATAGGCCAGAAAATTTTCAAAAGCACTCTGAGGATTAGAGTTGCCTTTTTTTTTTTTTTGGCCAAGTAATTGAGACCAAAGAAATACTAGGTTGGAGCATATGAATTTGCTATTTTATAAGTCAATAAATGGTCAAATATCAGTGATTTCAGAGGGTTCAAACCCATTAAAGTCCTCTCTTCCCAACTATTCCCATATATTATTACTGTAATGTCATATAGGAAGAGCCATTTCAACACTAAAACTTTAGATAGGGCACAGTCTTAAATGGGGATAATATTAGTATTAACCTCATATGATTGTTATGTAAATGAGCTTAGAGTGATGCTTGGCGCATAGGTATTCAATAAGTGCTATTTACTATTGTAAGCAATTGCATTTTGGGGGTTGAAAATTTTACTCTAGTTTTTCAAGTTACACCTTAATGGTTCATGCAGGACAGCTAATCCTTATACGGCTAACCCTTAATGCTTTAATCAGAATAACAACATCAGCAGCAGCAGTAACAGCTCACACTTATACAGTGATTCCAGGAAACTCTGGCATGGTTCTACATAGTAGTTTATAGTTATTAACTCCTTTAATTCTCACAACAATCTTTGTTTCTTTCTCCCATTTTACAGAAGCAAAAACTGAGGAAGAGAGATCAAGTTATTTGGCTAAGGTTATATTGCTAGTAAATAGTACCAGGATTTGAATCCAAGTAGTGTGGCTCCAATGTTTGCACTCTGAATAATTTAGTTACACTGCCTCAAAAGAGTACATTACATGAATACAGATATTTCCCAACATGATAAAAACATAGTTTTATACTTAAAAGACTGCAGTAATTATTTTCGGGACTCACAATCTTCTATGTCAAGATACCAGGGAGTCAAGGACCCTTCAGAATGAGTCCTAGTTCTTTCAATTTCTAGTTTTGTGATCTTAAGTGAAAGATTAAGTCCTCATCTTAAGTCTGGGATAAATAATTCCTGCTCTACTTTTTATACAGTTTTATTTTGGGGATAAAACTGAATAAGATCATGAACAAACAAAATATCATTTTAGAAAAAATTTAAGTTTTAAACTTTTTAAACA